ACCTCTTATGTCTTTCATAAGGCACTGTTTCACTTCGGAGTGTCGTAGTACAAAGTCCACTCCGTGTTGAGCTTGTGTTGTCCGTCGATCGCTGGCCCGGCGTTCAGGGTCATCGTCAGCGGAACTGTATCAGTGAATCCCGCGCTTTTATTTAGCACTTGAACTGTTGATTCCGCCATGTCAATCTCTATTGGTCTGATTGTTTTTATAGCGATGAGATGACAACATGACGCAAAGTGACGAGTAAAGAGAAGTAACTGGTCTAAAAATTTTATAGGAAAACGAAAATTTATATCTACTGATAAAGTCAATTCTTTATTTCTCTTTGCTCTAAATCACTCCGATAAAATCAAGAACCGTAATCTTTTTTTCACATATCTACTTCAAGTTATATTTGATTTATTATATAATTAATTAACTATAATTGTATAGTTAAAAAACAATGTCAATTATTTTTAATTATTTTTTTCAAGAAAAAAAAGAAAACAATTTTTAAAAACCTAATTAAATTATACTAATACAACCAAATGTCCTTGTAACCCCGTCGAATGTTGACGGGTAAGAATTGACAATTAGAGTTCATCTTATTGACTCTACTTATTATAAAACACATTTCAATCTCTGCACCACATCATTTTCAAATCAAAAGTTTATTCGAAAACATTCTTCACTTTCTCCTCGTGTTTGAACCAATGAAAGAGAATTTTTTGAATGAAGGGGAGGAGTGGTGGGTTGAACTCTCTAAAGAATTGGAGTACGACGAGTAAGTCTTCAGTCTCCACGTCGAGTGTATCTTTCAAGTGTCCGATGAGTTTAGTGTTAGAAGTGCTCTTGTAATTTTCGAGTGTATAAAACGCTGAAATTGCTTTGTACCACAAAGTTGCTTCTAATCGTCTAATCACAAACAACGCGTCGAACTTACTCTTCTTCTCTATTTTCAACATTCCGAATGCGGCGTCGTCGAACAGGGAGCAGTGCGCAATCGTTTTTACGCGACAAAACGCGTCCAATTTCTGTTCGACAAGCTTCAATGAGTAAATAGCCTCGTTGAGGAGTGCGTTTGCTCTTTTGACATAAAGCGCAGTGATATCTTCGAAGTTGATGATCTTAACGGTGTTCACCTCGAGATTAACGACACATGTCGGTAACGCGAAAGTCGTTTGCTTGAGTGCGCTCGCGCTCTTAACAAATTGGATTGATAGAAATGGGTTAATAGACGTCCGTATGATCGAAGATGAATAGAAGGGGACCAACGGGATACTAAAATTGGAGAGTAAGACCATCACGTTGACTATTTCTTTACTCGAAGTCGTCACACAGACGGTTTGAGAGCTCTGTGTATATCCCGAGAGGATCGCGGAGATCAGTAGACTCTCCTCGTTCACTTTCATTTGATTATTAAAGAAAGGTGTTGAGTACATAGGTGCTGGGGAAGTATACGCGACTCGAAAGAATTGGTTGATGTCATCCACTAAAGTCTTAATACCACCAAGTAAATCGCCAGAGCCATTGGTTGCCATATTATTCACTTGATAATTGAAGATGATGGTATTTACAGTATCGTAGAGTCGATCTTCGAAGTACAAAAAGTTAGAAAGGTCACTCTTAAACTTGATGCCAATGTCAAAGACTACTATTGGGTAGGGCATCGGTGTACTTGTCATGAGTGGAATATGATAGGAGTATACTACGCCTATTTCAGAGACATTTAAATCGTATTTGTAATAAGTCGGTATTGATAAAACGTTCTTCTTCGTTTGGGTAGTCTCGCCAGACATGTAACACTCTTTCAAGGGTATAGACTTGAAGTATTGATTCATCCCAAATTTCTTGATCTTCCGTTGAACCTCGTCTGGAATACTTTTGTTGTTCCACATATAGAGAATACTCCCCTGAAAGTTGTCGGGATAACTCGCTACTGTTATTAATGAGACGGCGCCGTCGGGATCGATGTCGACATCCTTTTGGTAATTGAAGCGTTTGATTTTTGTGTACCGTTGACTTGATGTGGACAATAATGTTTCAAGTGTTCCCCACGCATATCCCCATGACTCCTGTAACGTTGAGAGTGTTCGTGTTCTTTTTGTGTGTCCTTTCAAAGGGGTGTTAGTCACTGAAAGTGCTTGAGAAATTGGAACTGGTTTGTAAGTCATGATTATGTAGTATTTTTTCTTGATTGAGGAAAAATTCCAAAACACTTTTAGAGGAGTTTAAATAAAAATGTACATAATATTATAATAATATAATAATATATTTATATATTATTATATAAATAGATATCAAATTCATAAATAACGCTTTTTTTATAATACAAATACAGTTAGAGTATTTAATGGGTGCCAAGAAATTAGAGGATTGATTATAGTAAAAATTCAGGTTTTATTTTTTATTTTTTATTTTTTTTCTTGATAACAATTGATAAGAAAATAAGTGCCAAACTCATTTCAATTCTTGAAATAATTCTGGCACCCAATAAGTTTCTGGCACCCCGTAAATACTCGATCTGTATGTATTTAAGAATAAGATATTACTATTAACAATTTATAGTAAAGAACTTTAAGATGGTTAAAATTCAATATAATTCCAAAATACAATTTGATGAAAATTGAAGTGTTTTTTTATTAATAAGTGTTAATGTATTATATTTTATTACTATATTAATAATTAATTTTTAATACAATTCAAAATCATAGTATAATTTTATATAACAATTAATAATGTTTTTATTTTTATTACTTGAGCAGTTTTGTTCAAGACAAAAATAAATTGTTTATTAATACTTGATTGATTAAAATATATCATAGTTAAAAAAAATTTACAAATCCCTAAATTATACGTTAAGATTTTATT